AAAAAACATATATTTTTATTGATATTTTATTTATTTATTTTTTAAAAAATAAATTTATTTAATTGTGTAAAAAATAAAATAAATAAAATTTTTATTCAATCTAGTTAAAAATAATTAAAATATTAAAGATATGTTTAATATTGCAATTACTTAGAAAACAAACACGGGATACACATTCAATCCAACCAAATAGTCTGGGTCCTAGGATTCAAGTCTGATGAATTCTAACCCCCCATTATCCAATCCGTCCAATCAAACACACCCTAAGGTCATGTTTGTTTGGTTGGACATGAGTTTGGGATTGGACTAATAATCCAATAAAATTATTAATTCGATATTTGGTTAAATAATTAAAGTACAAACTAACAATCCATCCGAATATGGTATCCAACATATGATGGACTATTCAATCTCACTGAAGGGGGTGTGATATAAATTGGAGGACTAAGCCAAAGTTTGCACTATTAATCCCTCTTAATAATCCTCACTCAATCTAAATATAGGATAAAATATACAATTTAAAGGGATTCATAATTTTAAGACTATTAATTATGAGAATATTAATTCAACCTAATCTAATCTATCCAAACAGATATGGCCTAAAAGTATATGTGCCCCACTATGTTTTTGCTTGTCTCTAAATCTCGATCCCAGCACAAAGGTTAGGCCCGGGCCCAAGATCAGTATGATTGACCCATGATACAATTCTTCGAATAATACAGGCCCTATAAATATATATATGTTTAGTATTCTTTTTTTTTTAAGTTTCTGCTATTGTTTGGCCCAAGGGCTGGTTCACATTGTTTTTAATCACTCTTTTTTGAAACAAACTTTTCACTTAAATTTTACTAGACTAGAAGACTTTTGAAAATAAAAGATAGATTTTTCTTTGGATAAATTACAAATATACCTCATGAGATTTTCTTAAAATATGAATTGCCCTTTGTGGTTTAAAAAATTATAAATACCTCATTGTTAGAATTTTTTATTTAACAGAATTAATTGAAAAAGTGAAATTCTAATTGTTCACCTATACAATAATAAAATTATCTGAATTATTAATTGAAATAAAATTTTAAAATTATTAAAAACTGTTAATTAGCTTGATGATTTATTAATAAAAGACCTATTTGTTATGAAATTAGAAACCTTAGGAGCATAATGTAATTTCTAAAACTAAATAGGATAATTTGTAATTTAAGTAAACCTAAAAAAAAAAAACAATCATTACCATTCATGTGAGCTGGATTTAGTTTGGAATCTAAATTATATCAAAAATGTTAGAGATCTCAAAAATTTTACTAAAAATTTTACCAAATATCTCACATGGGCGTGAGACTCACATGGAACCCACATTATGTAGGTCTCACACACACATGAGACATTTGGTAGAATTTTTAATAGAATTTGTGGGGTCTTTAGCATTACTCAAATTATATGGTTTTTTTTTTTGAGGGGTAGGAATGGCAACGGGGCGGGGCGGGGCGAAGCAGGGCCGGGGATCACACTCCCCGTCCTCGATCCCCGATGGTCGAATTTCCCCCGGCCCCGATCCTATCACTGCCCCTACCCCTGCCCCCAACGGGGATCGGGTTTCCCCGACCCCGAGCATTCCCCTGTTAAAAAGAAATTAAAAAAAAAATCAGAAAATACAACAACAACATCATCATCCAAGACAGATCTGAAACAGATCTAAAAAAAAAAAAAGATTTGATCTGTGAGCTGGACAGCGACGTTGAGAAAAGAGGGAGTAGATGAGAGACGTGGTGGTGGTGGTGGTGGTGGTGGTAGTAGTGCGAGCTGGACGGCAGTGGTGGTCGGCAACGTCAAGAAGAGAGGGAATGGATGAGAGACGCGGCGGCGTTGGTGGTGGTACAAGCTAGACGACGGTGGTAGTCGGCGACGTCGAGAAGAGAGGGAGTGGATGAGAGACGCGGTGTGGTGGCGGTGGATTAGAGCGAGAGAGAGAGAGAGAAAAGTTAGTGAGGTAGAGAGAGATGAGAGACGGAGACGGGGTAGAGAGGGATGAGATCTGAGGGTAAAATAAGGGTAAAGTCAGTGAAGTCAGTGGTTTATATATATATATGTATGTATATAAGGGTAAAATTGTAATTTAACATTGGGGATCGGGGACGTGGCCGGGCCGGGTACGGGACTGGGACACTGGTCCCTGTCCCCGGCCCGAATCTGTTCGGGGATTGATTTTTAAATACCATCCCCATCCCGTCGGGGGTATTTTACGGAGAAAAACTGCTCAATTCGGGGTCGGGTGGTCGGGTCCCCATCGGGCCGGTTTCAAATTGCCATTCCTAGGGGGGTTGGAACTGGTTTGGTTAACTTAAATAAAGTAAAAAGATTTCGATTCTAGAAAACTTTTCTTGTGAAATGCAATTAATAATTGGATCACAAATTTTTGTTTTTAAAACAATAACTAATTTTGTTTATAATCATGGTCTTAATAAAAATTGAATAATTTTACTTATCCAAAAACCAATCCTCAATACATTTAGGCACCGTTTGGGAAGGTAGGTTGGAAGTTTTTTTGACTATTTTAGTCACAAAAGGTAAAATAGGTTATTTTAACCACAACAAACAAAATATCACATTCAACCCATAATCATTACACTCTTCTCTCACAAAAAAAGTCAAAAAAGTCAAAAAGCTTAAAAGTCATTCCCCAAAAAAGCCAAAATAGCCAAAAAAATCATAAAGTCAAAAAGCCAACCCACTTCTTAGATAGCAGTGTTGTTGTTGTTGCATTTTTATTTTATTTTATTTTTTTCAGTTCTTTTTGCCATTTGTGTTTTATTTAAAATCTTAAAAATAGATTTATATGTAAGTGAAATAACTATAATTGGCCTTATTGTGCTAGTGGTTTTTTTTTTCAATGATTTTTTTGGGTCTTTAAAAAAATTCTATGAAAAATGCTAAACATAATAAAAAAAAATGTATATAAAAAGCGATACAAACAAAAATATGACAATAGCATTTTGATAATTATAACAAAAATGCTCTAGCCTACTAATTGAAGATCACTAATAGACCACTAATGACGTGACGATAATATGGACCAACCACTAATGTGATAGTTTGGATTTTTTTTTTTTCTTTGCACTGCGAGCTCATTTGAGCTAATATTAGTGATGCAAATTTAAAACACTGAATCGGTACTGTAATTATAATTAGTGATGAACTTTTGACTTTCAATGAATGATTATAAATAATTTGTTATAATTGGGAAGGTAAAGTATTATTTATCCTATTTTAAAAGTATAAGATTAGGCACAAACACTAAAAACACTACTTTTAGTGGTATTTTAGAAAGTTAGTAAAAAATTAATGTTTTAATTTTTTTAGTTTATTTTGTTTTTTTGTGGATGAAAAATGTAAGAGGTAATGTGATTCAAAATAAGTAAAAATTAAAAGTTATACTTTTTTTTTCTTCTTCTCAAAAGACCCCTAATTCTGAATTAAATTTTAATCTCATGTTAATTAATTAAAAATTTAAATAATAAAACAAAATTTTGAGTTATTCTCCTCAATTTGTGATCGAATATATGTTAGATATTTTTAATTTGTCAGTGAGCAGCCCCATTGGTAGAGGCATCACATCAAGATAACAGGAGAGAACAGAAGAGCTTGCCATTCTAGGAATAAGTTATTTTAATTAAGGGAAATGCCTGAGGCCTCGAATATGAGAAAATGGGTAAAAAATTAAAAGTTAAGGCCTTGTTTGGTTTGTGTTTCTCAAAAAATTTTAGAAAAAATTCTCTACAAATAAGTTTTCCAAAGTAATCAAACCAAATAAATTTTTCCAAATTTTTTTTCTAAAACTTGTTTGGTTTACAAGTTTTCCAAACAAATCTCTCTCTCTCATACACATCAAATCAATCACTTTTTCCAAAACTCTCTCTTAAAATAATTTTTCAAAACATCTTTTGAAAAAAAAATCAAACCAAACAAATTTTCGTACTTTTTATCTCAAAACATGTTTCTCAAATAAAAACCAAACAAGCCCTAACTTTTTTTTTTTTTTTTCTCAAAAGACCCCTAATTCTGAATTAAATTTTAATCTCATGTTAATTAATTAAAAATTTGAATAATAAAACAAAATTTTGAGTTATTCTCCTCAATTTGTGATCGAATATATGTTAGATATTTTTAATTTGTCAGTGAGCAGCCCCATTGGTAGAGGCATCACATCAAGATAACAGGAGAGAACAGAAGAGCTTGCCATTCTAGGAATAAGTTATTTTAATTAATCATTTGATTTTTTAATTATTTTAATTTAATTATAAAAAAATTGTGTTCAGTAGGATGATAGTTGATTTTTTTGTGTAATTGATTCAATGATTGTGAGAAAAAAAAAAATAATTATAAATTAAATATGATATTTTATTTTATTAATTATTTTACATATTTTGTGATTATTTTAACTAAATAGCATCTAGCCAAACAAGGCCGTTAAGTTGCTGGTCAAATCTTATAAAGGTCAAATATTTCAAATCTTGGTGTCATTGAAAGTTTGTTCAACCATTAATTTTAGAACTCCAAAATTATTCGAGGTGCTCATAAATTGATTTGAATACTTAATTATAAAAATAAAAATAAAAACACAGGAGAGAACAACCTTTCAGGAGAGGAAAAATTATATAATAATCTTGGAGTATACATGATTATACTCTTTCACTAATTATCATTTATTATGTCCCTTTATATTCCTCAATCACCAAACACAAATAGTTAATATTCCAACTCTTCTACGAAACATATTATTATAAAATATCGTGACTGTACTTTCAAATCTATATAACAAAAACAACTCTGTTTTTTTTTCTTGATTAGACTTCTGTCTCTTTATCAAAATATGAACCATTAGATTGAACTCAATCCAAAGGCTTACAGTGTCTCACTCTCTATTTGGTCCAAGATCATTTTCAACCCACAGCCCCTGTCTCTCAGACACACACACTCTCATCTCTTTGTTTCTGATTTGAAATTTTGAAATCTGACCCACCTTCTCTCTCTCTCTCTCTCTCTCAACCCTTGCAGGCAACCGAACCCAAAACCCCTATTAGTCTCTTCATCTTCTCTCTTCCTCCCTTCTCTCTTCCTAATCATCATCTTCTCTCTTCCGACCGAATGGATCAACTATATATATGACTCAGAGATGGGAGATTCAGAGATTCAGAGATGGGACCGAATGTATGTATATATATGCATTTGTTGTCATATCTTATTCTCCGAGTTTTGAACCATAACATCGTGCAAGGTATATTTGGTTCAAGTGAAATTCATGTTGGTCTGTTTGGTGTATTATTCTCTTTATTTATTTATTTTTCCCCTATTTTATTTATTATTTATTTAATTTGTGATTTGTGAATCAGATCATGCTTGATCCACAAGGGGTGAGTAAGGGTTCTGGTTTTGTGGCCTTCTCAACCTCCGTGGAAGCTACAAGAGCTGTAAGACTGCCTTCTCTTTTTGAACTTCAGATCTCTCTTTCCTATCATTCAACCACAGAGTTTGTCTAATTCATTGTGTTGATTGTTATCCATGTTCTTCAGTTGAATGCGATGAATGGCAAGATGATTGGACATAAACCTTTATATGTTGCCGTGGCCCAGCGCAAAGATGAAAGGAGGGCACAATTGCAGGTGATTTTCTTCATTGCATCATTTCTTAGTAATGTAATGTAATTTAATATAGTCTCTCTCTCTCTCTCTCTTTGATTTTATATATGATTATGGATATATATTGATTGAACTTCAGAGACAGTTTTTAAACCCTTAATTTGTTGTCATATTTTTTTTTTCATCTTATTTTTTGTTCATCTTTTTCATCTTATAGAATGACCCGATAAGTCATGTATTGCAAGTGTTTGATATAATGACCCAATAAGTTTTCTTTATATAGGCACACAACTAGAACCTATTTCCTAAACACATGTTCAGGAAATAAACCAATCATGTTTTTTTGTTTTGTTTTGTTTTTTTATTTTTTGGTGTAAGTTTATTGGACTCAAATCAATTATGATCATTACACATGTGTTTGATAGAATGATCAACAAATTGGACTTTTTTGGGGATTAATCTAAACAATTTTTTGGGGATTAATCTAGACAGTTTTTTGTTGTGGTAGGGAAGGTTTGTTTTGGGTTGCCTATTTTTCCATTCTTTTTTTTTTTTTTAATTTCTTTTTTACCATATTAATCTAGACAACTCTGTTTTTTTTTATTTTATTTTATTTTATTGCTGTTCTGGGTTATACAGTTTTTAAACCCTTAATTTGTTGTCATTTTTTTTTCATCTTATTTTTTGTTCATCTTTTTCATCTTATAGAATGACCCAATAAGTCATGTATTGCAAGTGTTTGATAGAATGACCCAATAAGTCATGTATTGCAAGTGTTTGATAGAATGACCCAATAAGTCATGTATTGCAAGTGTTTGATAGAATGACCCAATAAGTCATGTATTGCAAGTGTTTGATAGAATGACCCAATAAGTCATGTATTGCAAGTGTTTGATAGAATGACCCAATAAGTCATGTATTGCAAGTGTTTGATAGAATGACCCAATAAGTCATGTATTGCAAGTGTTTGATAGAATGACCCAATAAGTCATGTATTGCAAGTGTTTGATAGAATGACCCAATAAGTCATGTATTGCAAGTGTTTGATAGAATGACCCAATAAGTCATGTATTGCAAGTGTTTGATAGAATGACCCAATAAGTCATGTATTGCAAGTGTTTGATAGAATGACCCAATAAGTCATGTATTGCAAGTGTTTGATAGAATGACCCAATAAGTCATGTATTGCAAGTGTTTGATAGAATGACCCAATAAGTCATGTATTGCAAGTGTTTGATAGAATGACCCAATAAGTCATGTATTGCAAGTGTTTGATAGAATGACCCAATAAGTCATGTATTGCAAGTGTTTGATAGAATGACCCAATAAGTCATGTATTGCAAGTGTTTGATAGAATGACCCAATAAGTCATGTATTGCAAGTGTTTGATAGAATGACCCAATAAGTCATGTATTGCAAGTGTTTGATAGAATGACCCAATAAGTCATGTATTGCAAGTGTTTGATAGAATGACCCAATAAGTCATGTATTGCAAGTGTTTGATAGAATGACCCAATAAGTCATGTATTGCAAGTGTTTGATAGAATGACCCAATAAGTCATGTATTGCAAGTGTTTGATAGAATGACCCAATAAGTCATGTATTGCAAGTGTTTGATAGAATGACCCAATAAGTCATATTAAATTTATATACACCTCAAAAGCTTTTTAACGATATGCATCCAAAGTTTTAATCATAGTAGTTCATAATCTTAAAAAAATATCATAAATCCTCATAACTAAGGCCACTTAAATTTATAATTAAACATCACAAAATTTCGTAACCTAAACCACCATGGGTTATAACCATAAACACTACAAAATGTCTAATAACCAAGTTCATCATAAATTTGATCATCACAAAATCTTATAACTAAATGCCACAAATCGTTAGAATTATGGTGCATGGTACACATTTTTCAATGTTTATTTTATAACCAAAACCACCATGTGTATCAAAGAATTTTTCAACGTTTATTTTAATTAACTCTTAAAAATTATTTGTGATATAGTAAGTTTTCATCTTGGAAAACAAAGTCTTTTGACAGGGCATTCAACATTAAACCTATAGTTCTGAATGTAAGTTTAATATTTCTTTTGTTTCTTTTCTATTTTTGTTGGTAATCAAGTTACCGATAAATTAAGGTGAACATGCTTTGCATCTCATGAAGAATTATTCATTGCTCATATAGTAAATGTTTTCTTTATTTTGCTCTCATGTTTTATATATTCACTGTTGTATTTTTATCTTCACTTCATTTTTATTTTAGCCACTTGATTTTTTATAAAAAAAAAAAATTCCCCCTTTCCATTTGCATAAAAGAGAATATGAGCAATGAAGCAAAATAGGATTGGTAAGTAGTGGAAAAATTGGGAGTGGAAGGAACTTTGGAGCAGTGGCCAATAATGTTGCTCCTGATAAAAAATAGTACTGCTAGAACTTTTTATTTTTATTTTTTATGATTTGCTTCAATCATCGGGTCACTTTTCTTCCATAAGTTTGGTCACTTTTTTCCATAAGTTTTGCTTTCTTTTATTGGTTTTCTTTATCTTTTTTTGTCCAAAGTGTATTGTGGAAGTCTCAGTAGCTTTACTGTGAGTGGTTTTGGTGGATGTTAGAGCAGTGGGTATTTAAATAGAATGAATGTCTCATCATCATTTAGTGAAGTGGGTATTCGATGATCACATAGTTTTTTTTGTTCTCCTAAAATACCTTTATTTATTTGTTCTCCTAAAATACCTTTTTCAAACCTTAGAATCAGATCCTTCTATTTATTTTTGTTGTGAGTTGGGTGTTGCCTTTTTTAAATTGATCATGACATGTTTGGAGCTTTTATTTCAACAATGTGATTATGGCAGTGGAGTTTTGGTTTCTTTTGCGAAACACCCACATCTTATTAGCATTTTTGGAGGAGTTTGATTATTTAAAGCTCTGTTTTTTAATTTTGAAGGAACATTTTTCTATATCATTTTCGATGGTGATGATTTTGGCTTAGATAGCTTTGACAAGACGTTTGATTCAGTTTATAATTCAATTTAATAACGAAACTGCACTGTTCAAAGTTGCAGCTCATCCCATTTGAAATCCATTTCAGCGGCTTTGCAACATCATCTCTTCCCGTTTCTCTCTCGCTCTTTCTTCAACGGACCACCATCAAGGTAATGCCACTTCTCTCTTGCTCTCTCTTCAAACCTCATCTATTTCAACATCTTTTGTTTCAATAATCTTTACTCTAATTTGTGAATATCTTTTGTTTCAATAATCTTTAATTCCAGCAGGTTTGTTACTCAATAATATTGACAACAGGTTGTCCAATTTAATTGCTTTATTGATGTTTGTAGTTTGTGATTGAAACATTGTGTCTGAAGCATTGTGGACTTGCTTAAGACCTTTCATATCGAAACATTATGGTAAGAATTTGATTTGTGTTCTTACTTAAACATTTTCTCTATATATATTTTTTGTTGCTTTTATATCTATTTGTCCACTTTATGTGCAGAAGTATATATTGGTTGACTTTACTACTACATATATTTCTACTCCTTTACACCCTTTGCTAGGTTGGGGTAATGTGGCATATTTAAAAATTTTAGGATTTATTAATTTGTAAGAACAATGGTAAGATTCATTAATGTTTTCTTTTCATGTTGTTTGGAGTTAGATTGTGTCACCAATACCTGAAAATGTCCTCATATTAGACTGATTCATTATTTTTATTTAATGTTTGGAGTCAAATTATTATTTTAAAACTGTGTAGATGTGCAAATCTTTTGTTACATGTTAATTTTAATAAATAGATTCTTGGAAGCAAAGTACTAAGTGATTGATGTGTTTTATTGGTAGTTTCCATTGGAAACACAATTCATTTTGATAAATTGTTTAATTTTAGTAAAATTTGGTGGCGGAACATGATTGATAGGTTATTAGTTTGGCGCCTGCATATCTATGTGATTTTTTATTAATTCCTTGAATGAGATATTTTATTCATAGAAAATGATTGGTAGGTTATTAGTTTGCAGCTCCATTTAAACCTCTTTTAATTCAACAAAATTTAAGAAAGCTTAAGCCATCGATATGTTTGATTCCTAACAATAATGTGGGAGCCATCGATATGTTAAGTATCTATTGATATAGATTTATATCAGCCATTTGTTATATTTATATGGGTTTACAGTCTAAATCGGATGAGATTGAAGTTTATGAGATATAATGGGATTTCAGTTTATGATAATGTGTTTCAAATATAATGTGTTTAATGTGTATGATAATGGGTCTCAAATATAATGAGATTTAAGTTCCTGATAATGCGTTTTATATAAACGAGTTATCTTCTACCGTCTAAAACTTGCTGTTTAGTGGATGGAGCTCTCAACTTTGCTAAAGAAACTTTCAATAGGCTTGGATAGCATAAATGAGAATTAAGTGTTTCAAATATGATTAGTGTTTTGATAAATGATTTAGGTGATTTTGATAAATGTGTGAATTGGGTTTCATTTTTAACATGAAAAGTAATGTTTTGTAATGTTTTGTTTTTATTTTATTGTTAAAAATTAGAATTGGGTTTCATTTTATTTGATTGTACTTAACGTATGGCACAATTAAGTAATCAAATAGTCATTGTACTGCCCATTGTTGTTTAAACCCAATCTATTTATAACACTATTAAATGAGTTATTTCTTCACTGCAGGTTTGTGGTGTTTCAACCTCTTCAACAACCTTAGATTTTATTTTAATTCAAATCATGGACAACATTTATAGTTTTGGTTAAGTATGTTTAGTTTATAGTTTATGAATCGAGGCTTAATTTCTTGTTTATTATTTATAATTTTTCTCATAATTAAATATTTTTGTATTATTCTTTACAGGTGGATGATATGTTAGAGGAAACAGTAATATTAAATCTCTATACTCATTTTTTATTTAATCTACATTCCTTAATATAATTTTTCTTTTACCTTTCAAATGCATTTCTATATATACACAGGTTCAGTTTCTTCAAAATAGAAATGTCAGTGTTGTGCTCTATAATGAACGTGACTTCAATGTCCTCTGTGTTCGTGGGGTAAGCCCACTAATCAAATTTATTTGTTTCTCATATTTTTTCTCAAAGGCAATGGTAAGGGCAAAGGAAAATGAGAAGCTTAAAGGAAAAAGAAAGGAAAACTACTTAATAAAGGGAATAAAAAAATACACAAGTGGTATGATTCTTTTCAAGTTTGTTTTGGAGCATGTGTAAAGAAAATCATGGGAGAATATGATATGTTGAAGCATGCATAATTTGTGTAATTTCTTTTTTTAACTGTAAAGTTTGTGAAGATGGGCATGGTGCTTTTAATCCGTAATATTACTAATTTCGAAACTAAATTATGCATCCTTAAAAAACAATACACTAGAAAAAATTATAAAGGATCTTTTACAAAGATATATATAATTTTCCAAATAGAATAGGGAAGTAATTAAAGTTTAAAAAAGAATATAAATGATAAAAGAAGGAAACAAATTGAAAGTGTATTTTAATTAAAATTTTGTTTAAATTATAATCAAGTCAAACTTTTGTAGGATTGGGTTGAAAAAGCTATGGAGCTCAAGAGGATAAATAAGACTACATTACTCTGATGGAATAGTAATAAGGTATTCTTAGTTCATATTGTTTCAATATCTATTTTTCGTATTATTTCAATATGCTAATGTTAATGTTTTTTAAATATTAGATTGTTGTGCATGCTCCTCACTAGAAAAAGTACACAGAAGTTGATACATGGACATTTCAAAATGTGATGGAGAACAAGTTTGAAGGCGCCCAAGCACTTTAGATGCATCCAAGTAATTTTTCTATAGGCGTCCAAGTTTTTGTAGAGGCGCCCAAGTACTTTTTGTTGAGGCGTCCAAGTTTGAAGACATTATATGACATACATTTTGTAAAGCTTGATGTTAACCAATTTTGTAAAGCTTCATATTGATACATACTTCAATGGATTTCTAATATTTTTGTAAAGTCTATTAGCAATGTAAAAGATTGGACCTTATGGATGATTATTGAGTGTGGACTATCAAGTGCCCTTGAAAATTCACTAAACTTAAGTGCAACAATTTAATTTAGTATCTTTACATATTTTGGTGGAAGTCACATATGTTTGACATGAATTTTTGTATAATTTTAGTGTCTATTATGTAAGATGTTAGAGTCACATTGAAAAAGAATAATTTATTAGTGGGTTGAAGGAGGAGAATGTTAATAGTATTGTTACCTCTTAATTTGATCATGGTTATGAATTTTAAGTTTCTTCATTAAGAAAGACCAGTGTATTTTGATGCACTATTTTCATGGTTTGTTTCTGAATTTATTTATCTTTTCAGGACCTCTGACATTCCAACACAGCTAGTTGTGAAAGTAGTTTCGGTTTGTTATATCATCCTTGATATTTTGGTATCAACAATAAGGTTAGTCTTCAAAGTAACTTGGGTTATTTTTATTTCATTTATTTATAAGTAGTTAGTTGAAACTGTGAAGAAGTTGGGAGGATTTGAATTATTTCTATTGATATTTGATATTTAGTAGACTAATTTGAACTATTCCTTAAAAGGACTAATTTTGAAAATATGCTAGAGAATGAGGTGGGAACTCTTGAAGGCACCACCCATAAAAGATTTGAAATTTATTAGTTATTTATTTTAGTTTTCTTTATATATTTTGTTCCTCTTTCTATGTAAAGTTTTAAATTAGAGTGATATTATTATTTTGAATTGATTTATTGTAATTGAATTTCGTAGCATGTGTGGTATCAAAAAAAAAATTGCTCACAGTGCCTTCAGGCACGGATTATCCCTAGTTATTGAATAATTAAGCTCAAGAAAGTGCTTTATGTCATAAGTATATCACATTATTCACGTTGTGTTCGATTGAGAGTTTGGGAGGGAGGATGAGATTACTAATCCATGACACCCACCAAACTCATGTGTTGTGTGCAACAAAATGTTATGGGATTAGTAATCCTATAGGAGTATGAATCCCCTCCCATGGTGGAATTAACATTCTCATGGGAGGGTTGGGATTGCTAATCCCTTCACACAAATTGATGGCTAAATTATCATTTTTCCCTTCACTTTACAAAACCAACAAAATTATATTATTTGTGAGGATAGTTTTCAAGTAATTTTATAGATTTAGTCCTAATTAACTAATACCACCACACTAGTACACAAACAAACATACTTTATTTTACATCTTCAATCTAATACCATCACATTAATAATCTTCTCACTCAATTTTAACACACTCATAATCGCATTCAACCTAATCCTTCCAATAAAAAAGTCGTTATGGTGAGGGGATATCCCATTCCACTAATAATATGACACATGTATAATTCTCCGCTCACGCCTTATTTGAAAACATAACTATTTTAGTTTGTTATTTTATTATTATTATTTTTTATTATTTTGGTCTGATTAAAATAATTGTGTTTAAGAAGATAGTTAATTTTTTTTAATTAATTTGATGATTACAAGAGAAAAAATAAATGATTATAAATTAAATGTGATATTTTATATTATTAATTATTTTAATTTATTTCATTTTTATTAATTATTTTAACCAAAAAAAGGATAAATTACAAATATACCTCATGAGATTTGCTTAAAATACGAATTACCTCCTGTGGTATGAAAAATTACAAATACCTCCCTATCAGAATTTTTTTAACATAATTAATTGAAAAAATAAAATTTCTAACTATTCACCTATGCAATAATAAAATGATTTGAATTATTAATTGAAATAAAATTTTAACATTATTAAAAACAGTTAATTAACTTGATGATTTAATAATAAAATGATCTATTTCTTATGAAATTAGAAACCTTAAGGGACATAATGTAATTTCTAGAACCACAAGGAGTAATTTATAATTTAAGTAAGGGTGCTGCTATTAACACTTATCTTTTTTCTTTAGACCCCTACCTCTTTCATTTTTTTTGATTTCCAATTATATCCCAACATAAAATTTCACTTTTACCTTTATCTCTCATCTTCTAACCCTAATTTTTGAAACCCAAATCCAAACCCAAACCCTAACCCTAACCCTAACCCTAACCCCTCTCAACTCCGGCTACCACCTCCATCGGTCGTCGGTGGTGCCTCGTTGAACACACCAAATATAATCACTAAACTATACCAAATTCAATCAGAATAATGGCAAGTCCAAGCATCGATCCACAGGGACTATTGTGAAATTAAACTAATTTAATTGTCAAATTCCTAAATTAATTTTGATAAAAAGATTGGTTGTTTATAACCTAATTTAATAACGAATAAATTAAACTAAGGAATTAAATTATCAATAATAAATGAAATTGGATTTACTAAATTGTGGAAAAATCCTAGGGTAGAGAATTCACCACTAACCACATAATTAGGGTTTTCATTTGAAATTAATTATGCTATGGTTTGAACGGATTAATGCTTCGCAACTACAAGCTCAAAGCATTTAACAAGAAGATCATCACATTCAATGTACGAGCACGAACCATCTCGAGTAATACGAATCGTTCACTCTAAACTAGGGTAGTGATACGACTCGTTCCTCGTAGCATGGTTCGTCCCATACCTTGAATGTGAAGGAATAGAAAACTCATGTATGGATAATATTCAACAATCACAGAAAGTCAAATATTCGAAGAGATAATGAAAAATATAATAAAGAAACTTCTAAATCACCATACAAATGTTCAAACCTTTACATAATTTTAAATCAAAAAGAAAACAAAATAATTACATGGCTAGGGTTTCATCAAAACCCTAGAAAAAGAGACCAGCCACTCATAGAGGAGTGGAAGGAGGTAGATGGAGAAGGAACCACCATTGGAGACATCCTTGAAGCTTTTGTTTTCCTTCTTTCTTCAAAACCCTAGCCTCTCCCTTTAGGTCAAAACAACTTTTGAACCCTAATCCAGCCTTTTACTTGCCTTTTTATACTTCAAATCTCGTCCAAACAGGTTTAAAACATCGGTTTGACTTTCCCAAAAAAAGTAAACGCACGTGCAGGAAAGTCAACGCACGTGAGGTAAAGTCAACGCACGTGCGAAAAAGTCAACGCACGTGCGGGAAAGTCAACTCTATCCAAATTCTGTCTTTTTGCCCATTTTATGCTCCGACGATGTACAACTTGATTGACACTCAACACACATAAAGTATACAGTTTGACCAACAAGTGAAGTTAAGAGATTCTAATTAACGGCCTCAATGATGTACATTTCTGCCTTAATCAGCCAGCCAGCCTCTCACTTCTAGTCACTACCTCCATCTCTCTCTCTCTTCTTCTTCTTCTTCTGAAATTGCGATCTCCACTAATATCACGATCTCCACCCCTACTAATCACGAACCCCATTGCCACTGCAATCTCTCTCTCTCTCTACGCATGGTTGGGTCGATAAGGTTTGGAGGCGCAATGGTGACGGGAACGACGATCTGTGACCTCAAACCTTAGCCACCTTTATCGCCGTTGTGATTTGAGATCTCAACCATAGCCGCCGTCGTGATCTGTGACCTCAAACCCTAACTGTCGTCGAGATCTGTGGCCGCAAACCCTAGTCGCCTTCGTTGCCGTCGCGATTTGAGTTCGCGACAGTGGCTCGCAGCAGTGGCTCTGGATTGAGGTTGTCTGAAGCTGCTAGAGATTGGAGTTGACCAGAGAGTGGCGCCGGCAGTGGAGGTTGTTGTCGGAACTGACAATGGTTGGGTGGAGAAGATAGTTTAGAGTGAGGGTATAGTTGGAATTAAGGTGGGGGTTGAAAGAGAAAATGGAGGGCCCTCATTTAGTTGGATGGGGGTTCAAAGAAATGGGGGGTCCAAAGAAGAAAGGAATGTGCTAATAGCAGCACTCTTTAAGTAAATCTCAAGAGATGGGTTTGTAATTTATCCAAAAAAAAAATTAAAAAAAGTAACTTGCCAAACAATGGCTCAATGTATTTATTTATACTCTCTTCCTCCTGCACAACGGTCCCGTTTGGTGTAGCTGTTAAAATAGATTATCGATTATAGCTTAATAGATTATAGATTGACTTTAATCAGAAGCTGTTAATCTATTTGGTGTAACTGTTAAATTATAAATTTAAATTGTTGAGTAGTATTTGTTAAATAAGCTGTGAAGTAACTTTTTCAATTAACTTTTATTTTTTGTTATTCACTACTTGTCTACATTTCTCACAAATAATAATAATAATAATCTATAGTCCATTTGGGTCTTTTTCTATTTTTTTAAAAATAAAAAATAAAAAATAAAAAAATCTAAAAGTATAACCGTAAATTAACATGTCCACAACAGAAGCTAATAATCAGAAGTAAGGGGTGAGTAGCTTCTCAGAATCAGCTTTTTTAAGTTAAAATAAGTTTTTAGAATCAGAAGCGGTTTGAAATAAGTTTAACCAAATAGTCTAAAATAGCTTTTTCAAAGCTAAAAGGTATAAGTTGGCTAAAAAAAGTCCAAACAAACACCCTCAACATCTGCAACCCGATAAGTTTATCCACCTCTCTCTCTCTCTCTCCCCTCATATATTTCCATTTTATTTTTTTACATATTTTTTATAAAAACATTAATTTTTAAAATAATTATTTATCTTTTATAATAGGATAAATTACAAATATACCCCCTGAGATTTGATTAAAATACGAATTGCCCCTGTAGTTCTGGAAATTATATTCCACCTCCTGAGATTTTTAATTTCATAACAAATCGCCCCATCTATTAATAAATCATAAAGTTAAATAACAATTTTTAATGTTGTTAGAAGTATGTTTCAATTAATAATTTAGATAATTTTATTATTGTATAAGAGAGCGATTATGAATTTTATTTTTTTAATTAATTCTGTTAAATAAAAAAATCTAATAAGGGGGTATTTGTAATTTTTTAAACCACAAGAAGCGATATGTATTTTAAATAAATCTCAAAGAGTGTATTTGTAATTTACCCTTGATAATATATTCATGTCAATCAACAGGTATTGATTCAATAGTAAGGCTTTCGAATTACT